ATGCCTAGGAGCTGGAGTTAAAGACATTTGTAGGACTCTTAGCTTGTGATTTGAGTTGACACATAGACAATGCCCTTAGAAATAGAGCTGCTTCACAGTCCTAAGAAAGGAAATATGCATGTTTAGATGTAGTTCGTGGGCAGCTCAGCCTCCATGAGTCTTCCCTAGTAAGAGGAGCAGGGGCAGTCTCTGGCATGAACTCCATTTCCTGCTCTTTGATCATCTTCCCCTGTCGAGGTGGCCCTACTAGGCCACAGGGAAAGAAGATCCAGACAGTCCTGATGAGGCTCGATAGACTAGGATCAGATAGTAGTGGAGGAAATCCTCCCCCATTAGTGGACTAGGGAGGGACATAGGGGAGAAAGAGGGAGGGAGAGAGGGACTAGGAGGAGATGAAGGAGAGGCTACAGCTGGGACACAAATTGAATAAAATGTAAATATATATATATATTATTAAATAAATAGATACACAAATAAATAGATAAGAAAATATAAATAAATAAATAAATAGATGAGTGAATGAATTAATGAATGAATAAATAAATAGATAAATAAATAAGTAAATAATAGAATGGAAGGAAGTGTGCTAACCTAAATGCATATCAAGGGATCCTCCAGGAATAATGGAAAAAAAAGTTTCCTCTAGCAGAGTCTTTCTGGTTATACAAACCACTCCTAAGACCAGGCTTCACACCCATAAATAAGTGGCCAACAAAAAAACTAACTCAATAATGTTTTTTTTTTTAATTTATTTTTGTCTCATAAGGCTTTGAGCAGCAGATGCTGCAGGTTTTTCTTCTTCTTCTTCTCCTCCTCCTCCTCCTCCTCCTCCTCCTCCTCCTCCTCCTCCTCCTCCCTATTCTCTTCTACCTCCTTTTTTACCCCACCCCTCCTTCTCCTACTTCTTTCACAACAGGTCTTTTGCTTTTGTATATTACAGTTTTGTCTATTATAGTTGTGATAGTTGTGTGTTCCGGTACATATATCTCTGTCTTATATGTGTTTCTAATATTTTTCCTTTGGTTTATTGTCTCTCGGTCAGTATGTTGGGTTTATCCTAGTCATGTTTGTTTGTTTTTAGTTCATCTTATTTTATTTTTTATTCTTATATTTCTTTATTTTAAGATACCTGTTTGTTTTCTAATAAGAGCAAAAAAGAATATAGATTTGGGTCTTTGGGAAGGAGTAGGGAGAATTGGAATCATAATGAGAATACATTATGTAAATAAATAAATATAATAGCAAAATAGAAGTAATATTACTATTATATTATTACTATAATAGTAATAATGGACCTTTGTGAATACCGGACCAATGCTCTGGTATTAAATCTACGTGTTTTACTATAAATAAATAACTAAAATTTTTATTTTTGTTATTATATTATAATAAAATTATAATATAATTTTATTATATTATAATAAAATAATAATATTTTATTATTATATTTAATAAAATAAAATAAAAATTATTTTTATTTTATTTTATTATTTTAGATAAAAGATCTAAAATATACCTGAATTACACTTGGAATGACTTTGAAGTTTAATGCTGTGACTTTGGGATTTGTGGGACTATGGTTGGTTGGCCTCTAGAAAAAAATGTGTCTCAAAAGGAGGTTTCTATGACAGCTGAATATTTTGACATCAAAGACTATGAATTTACAAAGACAGACTTCTATCTTTTCTATTCATGTTGCAATTTCAGTTAAAACAGAAAGTGATCATCACAAGCATTCATGAAATATAATGTGTTACATTCATACTTTTAAATATAAGCATGCAATTATAAAACTACACAAATTGTGGTATATACAACTTTAGAAATGCAATTTGTCTCATGGAATTTTAAGCTATTGCTTCTATTATTATAGCTGGATATCTAGAGTAAAATATAAAAATAGTGCAGCCACTATGTATGGAATGTTGTCTTTCGAGTTCTTTTCTGAAACTTATTCCTCCATAAATTATGAAGAAAACTGTGTATAAATTAAGTAATATATTATTTTTTGTGAATTACCTAAAATTTGTTTTGATTATAATCATCCCACTCAGACTTAGCCTCAATTATCCTTTTAACTTCTCCAAAATCCACTCATCCACATTGTCCTCACAATTTCATACCCCCTTTTTCTTTTTTTTATTATTTTTTAAATAAAATATATTTTTATTACATCCTCCTATGCTGCAACCCCTTCCATACCCTACTAACCTTCCTTTTCTGTCTTTACAAATAAATAAATAAATAAATATATTAAAAATATTAAAGAAAAAAACCACACAAAATACATGGACTCTCTTTTTTATTGTCTAAATACACACTCCTGGGCATGGAGCCTGCCTTGGAGTATTGTTTATGTACCCAGTGTCACTCCATTAAAAAAAACAAACAAACAAACTGATTTTTCATTGCCAACAGGCATTGACTTAAGTAGCTTCTTGGCAAGAAGTAGGAATCCATCTCCACTTTTTTTTCTACATAATGTGATTTTGTATATTTTTAGCTTGTGCTGATCTTGTGAACGATGCCAGCTTCTGTGAATTCTTTTATCTATCAACCTTGTTGAGTTTAAAAGATACTGGACACTGTTTCTTTAGAGCCATCCATTGCCTCTGGCTTTTCTTTCAGACTTTTCTTCCTTGCAGATCCCTGAGTCTTAGAGGGAGAAGTTTGAGGAAAGCATCCCATTTAGGGCTGAGTCCTCCAAAATTTATCACTCCCTGAACACTGTCTAGCTCTGGACCTCTTAGTTAGCTGCCATCTACTTCAAGAGGCTTCTCGGATGAGAGATGATACTCAGCTCCATGGGCTTAGCAGTATGTTCCTTTAATACAATAATAGTAGTAGGTTTTTGCCGAGGCCATGTCCTTGCCCAGTTTTAGGCTCTTGGCAATTTTAGCAGTGTCAGGTATGGTTTCCATTTCATGGAGTAGACTTTACATCCAATCAAAAAGTGTTCCATTACTCCCATAACCTTGTATCACTGTTTTACGTTTATTCCTGCAGGCGGTTTGCTATGGTAGGTCAAAGGCTTTGTAGACAGGTGATACTGGTTATTCATTTTCTCCTTGTGTTGTGTACAAAGTACCTTCCAGTACCATGAATGCTAGTCAGTAGGAGTGAAAATTGTAGTTGGGCACTTGTTTCATTTCTTCGTGTTTGATGACATAAGTAATTGTGTCATCAATAAAGCCTTACTATTGAAGAGTAGAGGGTAACTTATGATCTTGGCAATGACCTATCATGCCTGTGGGTTCTGTAAAGTCCCACTGGCCATTGACTCAACAAAATGTAACCCATTCTTGGCACTAGGAGTTATAAGTGGTGGTATAAGATATTTAGTTAGGGTAGTGTCTCCTCTATTATATCATAAATAATTTAAATGCCTTGCAAATACGTTTATATTTTAGGTAGCTTCTCTATTAGTAAGTCTCCATAGATTAAGGAGTTCAACATAAGACCAGATATACTGAATCTTACAAAAAATAAAGTTGGGAATAAGCATGCTCTCATTGTCACAGGAAAATACACGGCACAGAAAACAATAGCCATTCAGAACACAGATAGCACAGCATTACGACCAATGATTAATCAATAAGACTCTAGGAAGCTAAACCACTTCTGTACAGAAAAAAAAAAAAAAAAAAAAAAAAAAAAAAAACACAAAAAACTACCATCATTTAAGCAAAGCAGCACCCTCTGGAATGGTAAAAATCTCTACTACTTATACATATGGGTTAGCACCTATAACTGTAAAGATCAACTAAACAAAGTAAAACAAAATGAAATGAAACAAACCAAAACCAAACCAAACACACACCCAAACAAAGAAACAAACAAAAATCTTTAAGCAAAAAAAAAAAAAAAACAACAACAAATAACCTCAAATTAAAATGGTGTATAGAACTAAACAGAGAATTCTCAAAAGGTGAAACAGAAGAATCTGAGGAACACTTTAAGAAATATTCAACCTCTCTAGCCATCGGAGAAATGCAAATTAAAATTACTTTCATATCTCATCTTATACCAGCCAGAATGCCCATGAACAATAAAACAAGTCAAAGTTCATGCTGGCAAGGATGAGGAGAAAGGGCAACATTTATTCACTGGTAGTGGATATGTAAATTGGTACAGCCACTGTGGAAAACTGTGTGAGGGTTCCTCAAAAGCTTAATCTAAATGGTACATTTCCACAATGAAATATTATTTTACAGTTAAGAAGAATAAATTAATGAGATTTGCCCAATAAAGGATGGAGCTAGAAACAATCATTCTGCTCAAAGTAACCCTGAACTCAAAAGACAAATATTTTCCTTTTCTCTTACAGGCAGAATCTAGCTTTTATGCTTTAGATATATATGTTTCAGTTAGAATAAACACAGAAATTATGATGCCGGTGAGGGACTAGTAAGAGGAAGGAGATCTTTTAAAACATAATCCATTTTGTGGAGTATTTGTGCTTTCTGTGTACTCTTAGATACGAAACAATTTAATAAATTATTTTCAATCTATTAGAGGCCACAACATTTATAAAAACTGACTTTCTCTCCCTCCCAAATTATCGATTACCCATAGTTCCTCAGTCATGGGTGGGCTCCATAAACCCCTTCATGATCTAGGCTATGATATTGACTGGCTTGATCTAGTGAAAACTCTCACAGCTGCTGTGAGGTCATCAGTGAAACAGTCCTGTCATATCCAGGAGATACTGCTTCTCCCCAGACCCCCCCAAACTGTGGCTCTCAAGATCTTTCTGTCCCCCTTCTCTCCTGTTTCCTAAGGTGTGATGAGAGCGGGTATAGATGACTTATTTTTCTACAACTTTAAACAACGAAGTAGTAAGTACAAGGTGTTTGAAAACAGATTTTTTTTTTCACAGTGAATGTAATGGTGTTCTTTTTCTTTTTTTCCTGAAATGTTAGCATACCGTTAAAAATATGTATTTTGTAACCATATGCTAACATTTTAAAGCCTCTAAAAAGTAAACTTTTTCTCAACAGAGAGAACTGTCATTACAATCCCGCCTTCTAAAATGGACGTGACAGTCGGTGAGAGCATTGTTTTACCCTGCCAAGTGTCTCACGACCCCACCATGGAAGTTGTATTTGTTTGGTACTTTAATGGAGATGTCATAGATTTAAAGAAAGGAGTGGCTCATTTTGAAAGAATTGGGGGAGTAAGTAACTGGAATTGTTAAGTTCTTAATAAAGCAAACAATGTTTTACATAAATCCACGTAGTTCATAATCATCTGCTACATCTTTTTTTACATGCATAATCACTATCTGTGTATAAAGCTGCAGCTGTTTTTTTTTTCTTTATTTTGTGTATTTCACAGAAATACTTGTTTTCTAGATGCAATTAGAGTAAAGGGTATAATAGAAGGGATCAATTATGGAAAACTATAATAATCTTACTATATCTTCTAATTTCCAAACTGTCTTGTGTTTAATATCTACCCAGCTGTAAAGAAAATGGGACCCGCTGTGTGTGATTATGCTTTCATCCAGTTCCCTCTTTCTGTCTTCAGGAATCTGTTGGGGATTTAATGATAAGGAATATTCAATTAGGCCATTCGGGAAAATATCTATGCACAGTACAAACAACACTAGAAAGCTTGTCTGCTGTAGCTGATATCATTGTGAGAGGTGAGCAGAAATGATGGAGTGGTTCTATTGCTTATTCATAATCAGAAATGTCTATAATACACAAATGGCAGCTATTTGAGGAATTAAATGAGGATAAGGCAAGAAGAGAAATTTTTGTTTTGTAAATTTCAAGAGTCCATATTATGGGTTCTGTGGTTATAGACAAAAAAAAAAAAAAAAAAAAAAAAAAAAAAAAGACTGTGCTTAGGCCATAGTACTAATCCCTAAATTTTAGACTTCACTTCTATTTTGTAATAAGCTTTTAGTGTCAGAGCAAAATAAATTCTGTAGGATATTGTATTTGTCCCTAAAAGTTATATTTACATGAGCAACATTTTGAGAGAAAATGAGTATCAGGTTTAGAAATCACCTCACTGTTGCATGCTATTCAGTAAATGCATGCTTACTGTTTCCTCCTCTCCAGAGACAGTAGTTCCAATCTAATGTGTTATCTGGATAAAATGGATTGTTAGCATTTATTCTGTAAGTGTGTGCTACAAATAGCTTGGGTTCAGTAATTTATTTTCTACGTAGGATAGGTAAACTAAACCATTCTTATCCTCAACTGATGTGTTAAAACATATCCAACACAGCCATTATAAATGGTGTTTCTCCAGGTCCCCCTGGTCCCCCAGAAGATGTAAAAGTGGAGCACATCTCAAGTACCACCTCCCAGCTCAGCTGGAGACCGGGCCCTGATAATAACAGCCCCATTCAAATTTTTACTATTCAAACTCGGACACCCTTTTCTGTGGGTTGGCAAGCTGTTGCTACAGGTAAGTAGTTTATCTAGGCATTGTCACGATTGTCCAACAATAATACTTGCAATAACAATGTCTTAATTCGATAATTTAATAAAAATATTTAACTGTTAATTTTTATAATATAAATTATCACCTATATCCCCAAACTAGAGACTTGTCATATTAATAATATAATGATATACTTGAAAGCTTAAAAAAAAAAAAGAATAATTAAGAAAGGATCCAAGATGGCAGCACCGATCATGCACGGTGTCTGATCACCAGGATAGCAGTAACTGAAGATGCAATTGTGGGCCCCAAAACACCAGTGTCTGTGTTTCCGAGGTAAGAGGAGAGCCCACAGTGAGGAAAACAAGCAGGTCTTTATTCAGATCACCAAGCTAATCCCAGAAAACTTCCTGGGGTTCCTGCTAGTACAAAGTCTCAGTATCTAGCCACATGCCTGTGAACTGCTCTCACAGAGCTACTGGAAACAAAGCTGCAGTCTCTGGCCTCCTAATGCCCACTGGGAAGCAGGAACAGACCCAGATGCCATTCCAAAGCTCAACTCTTCTCCCTAGGGAGACCAACCAGACTCCTGGCCTCTCCAAGGTGACTGCACCCAGAAAGCTCAGTTTCTGAGCACAGTGGAGGGGCAACTGCAGGCAGTGGAGGGGGCAGCGGATTCCAGGACTTCCCTTGGTGAGAGAAAAGCCACCGGACTTCTTAAAATAGCCCAGATGATTCACAGGATTATACATCTGAGGAGAGTGGTGGGAAATTCCCTGAGACCCACCTGCCAGTCAGGGACTGTAGCCACCAGTCTGAAGAGGGCTCCTGAAGGAACATCCAGCTTCCTGCCCATAACTTCTCACATCCTTCTCTCCAGAACTCCAGTGGGAACCAAAAACTGCCAGCCATGGTCAAAGACAACTGGATGGCTAAAGGCCAGCATAAATACACAATCAACAAAAGCCCGAGCAAAATGGAATTTCTGGAACTCAGTTATCCCATGACAAGCAGCCCTGGATACAACTGAAACACAGGAAAATGACCTTAAATCTATGCTTATAAAGATGATATCAAAGGAAATGAATAGAATCCAAAAAGAAATACAGAAAGATACAATCAAACAGATTGAGGCCTTTAAAGAGGCCTATAGAGAAGAAATGAGTAAGTCACTCAAAGAAATATAGGAAAACACAAACAGGTGACAAAATCAATAAAAAGATTTATAATGTGAAAATGGAAATAGAAACAATAAATAAAGCACAAACTGAGGAAATCCTGGAGAGAAAGAACTTAAATAAGAAAACAGGAACTACACAAGTAAGAATACAAAAGATGGAAAAAAGACTCTCAGGTGTCAAAGATACAATGGAAGAAATCAATGTATCCATCAAAGAAAATGTTAAATCTAAAAATTCCTGACACACAATATTCAATAAATCAAGGACACCATGAAAACATGACACCTAAGAATAATGGGAATAGAGGAAAGAGAAGACTTGCTGCTCCAAGCCCCAGAAAATATTTTCAACAAACTCATAGAAGAAAATTTCTGCAATCTAAACAAAGAGCTGCCTATAAGCATGCAAAAGGGCTACAGAAGACCAAGCAGAGTAGACCAGGGAAAAAAAATCCACCTGCCACATAATAATCAGAACACTAAAAGCACAGAACAAAGAAAAAAATATAAAAAGCTACAAGAGAAAAAGGTAAAGCAACATATAATGGCAAACCTATCAGAATCACACAGGACTTTTCAGCAGAGACCATAAAGCCAGAAAAGCCTGAGAAGCTGTCTTGCAAACCCTAAAACATCACAGATGCCAGTCCAGACTATACCCAGCAAAACTTCTAATCACTGGGGATGAAGAAAACAAGATATTCGAGGACAGAACAAAATTTAAATAATATCTATACACAAGCACTACAAAGGTACTAGAAGGAAAACTTCCACCTAAAGAGATTAACTACACACAGACATACACACACACACACACACACACACACACACACACAAAACCCACAGTATATAATTTCACTACAACAAAAACGAAGGTAGACAAACATAAAAAACAAATCACCACAACTGACATTAAAATAAAAGTAACTAATAGTCACTGGTCATAAATCTCTCTCAACATCAATGGACTTAACTTTCCAATAAAAGACATAGACTAACAGAATGGACACATACACAGGACCCATCATTCTGCTGCATACAAGAAACACACCTCAACCACAAAGATAGACATTGTCTCAGAGTAAAGGGCTGGAAAAATGCTTTTCAATAAAACAGACCCAAGAAGAAAGCTGGAGTAGCCATTCTAATATCTACTAAAATAGATTTTAATCCAAAATTATTCAAAAGAGATAAGGAAGGATACTTGTAATCATCAGAAATTTCCACCAAGATGACCTCTCCATTCTGAACATCTACACCCCAAATACTAAGGCACCCATATATGTAAATGAAAGATTAATAAAGCTTAAACCACACATTGATTCTCACATATTAATATTGGGGGACTTCACAACCCCACCCTCATCAAAGGATAGGTCAACAAAACAGAAACTAAACTGAGAAATAATGACACTAATATATGTCATGAATCATATGGACCTAACAGACATTTACAGAACGTTTCACCCAAACACAAAAGAACGTACCTTATTCTGGAGCACCTTGTAGACCCTTTTCCAAAACTGACCATGTAGTAGTCTCAGCTGGTACAAGATTGAAATAATACCTTGTATCCTATCAGTCCACCATTGTCTAAAAGTTGGATCTCAAAAACAAAAGAAATAACAAAAAGCCTACACACACATGGTAGCTGGACAGCTCTCTACTCAATGACAACTGGGTCAGGGAAGAAATAAAGAAATTTAAAACTTCCCATAATTTAATGAAAATGGAGACACAACACACCCAAAATATGGGACACAATGAAAGCAGTGCTAATAGGAAAGGTCATAGCACTAAATGCCTTCATCAAAAAAATTTGAGATATCTCATACAAGGAAATTAGGGGCACACATGAAAGCCCTAGGAGGTGGTTGAGGGAGAAGCAGATACACCCAAGAGGAGTAGACAGCTGAAAATAATAAAACTCAGGGTGAAATCCATAAATTAGAAATGAAGAGAACATTTCAAAAAATCGCAGAAACCAATAACTGCTTTTATGAGAAAATGAAAAAGTTAGCCAAACTAACTACTAATAGAGAAAGAGACACTGTCCAAATCAACAAAATCAGAAATGGAATGGGGGACATAACAACAGACACTGAGGAAATCCAAAGAATCACTGTCTTAATTTAAAAGCCTATATGCTATAAAATTTGAAAACCTACATGAGATGAACAATTTTCATGATTAATTCCACTTACCCAAGTTGAATCAAGATGAGGTGAACAAATTAAGTAGTCCAATATCCCGTAAGGAAAGAGAAGCAGTCATCAAAATCCCCCAACCAAAAACAGTACAGGACCAGATGGTTTTAGGACAGAATTCCAACAGAAATTCAAAGACAATTTAATTGTTCCACAAATAGAAATAGAAAGAACATTTCAATACTCATCGATGAGACCACAGCACCTTGATATCTGAACAACAGAAAGACCCAAGAAGGAAAGAGAATTTCAGACCAATTTCCCTTACAAACATTGATGCAACAATAGTCAATAAAATACTCACAAACTGAATCCAAGAACACATCAAAAATATCATTCACCATCACCAAGTATTAGGCTTCATCCCAGGCATACCGTAGTGGTTCTATATATGTAAATCCATCAGTATAATTCACCACATAAACTGAAAGAAGAAGAAAATAACAACAACAACAACAAACAAACAAACAAAAAACCCCACATGATCATCTCCTTAGATGCCAAAAAAGCATTTGACAAAATCCAACTCATGTTCAAAGCTTTGGAGAGATCAGGGAAACAAGGGAAACAAGGTACATACCTAAACATAGTAAAAGCCATATACAGCGAGCTTATAGCCAACATCAAACGAAATGGAGAGAAACTTAAATCAATCCCACAGAAAACAGAGACAAGACTGCACACTCTCTCTGTAGCTCTTGAAGTCCTAGCTAGAGCAATAAAACAACTAAAAGAGATCAAGAGGATATAAATTGGAAAGGAAGAAGTTAACAAATCAGTATTCACATATGATATGATAGTATACATGAGCGACTCCAATAATTCTACCATGGAATTCCTACAGTTGATAAAAATCTTCAGCAAAGTGGCTGGATACAAAATTAACTCAAAAAAAAAATCAGTAGCCCTCATGTGTACAAAAGACAAAGGTGCTGAGAAGGAAATTAGGGAGACAACATCTTTCTCAATTGCCACATAAAATATGAAGTACCTTTCTGTAACTCTAACCAGGCATGTGAAAGATTTGTATGAAAAAAAACTTAAATTATCTGAAGACACAAATTGAAGATATCAGAAGATAGAAAGATCTTCCATGCTTGTGGATTGGTAGGATTAACATAGTAAAAATGGCCATCTTACCAAAAATATCTAAGAGTCAACGCAATGCCTATCAAAATACCAGAAAAATTCCTTATGGACCTTAAAAGAACAATTATCAACTTCATATGCAAAAACAAAAAGCCCAGAATAGCTGTACAATAAAACATCTTCAGGAGGTATCTCCATCCTTGATCTCAAGCTACACTACAGTGCAACAGTAATAAAAGCTGCATGGTACTAGCATTGAAACAGACTGGCAAATCAATGGAATCAAATTGAAGACCCAGAAATAAACCCACAAATCGATGTATATTTGATTTTTGACAAAGGAACCAAAACCATACAATGGAAAAAGATAGCATCTTCAATAAATGGTGCTCTTCTAACTGGATGGCTACAGATAGAAAACTGCAAATAGATCCATATTTATCACCCTGCACAAAACTAAAGTCTAAGTGGACCAAAGAAGACTTCAACATAAAACTAGATACACTAAATCTGTTAGAAGAAAAAGTGGGGAAGAGCCTTGAACTCATTGGCACAGGAGACAACTTCCTGAACAAAACACCACAGCTTAGGTTCCAAAATCAGTAATTAATAAATAGAACCTCATGGAACTGCACAATGTAGGCACTAGTTTTTTTAAGTCTTTCTTTCTTTCTTTCTTTCTTTCTTTCTTTCTTTCTTTCTTTCTTTCTTTCTTTCTTTCTTTCTTTCTTTCTTTCTTTCTTTCTTTCTCTTCTTCCTCCCTATTCCTCCTCCGTGCCGTCTAGCACTCCAACCCTAGGTAGGATAGAAAGACGTTTACTGGGGACAGGGAGCAGACTCTCTCTTACCTACTTCCTCCTAGTAAGGGTAGTAGACTTTTGGGGAGCAAGTCCTATCCTCATTTCAGCATATCCCAACTTCTAGGAATGGTGCATCAACAGTAACCAGGAGCTACAGGGGGAAAGAACCAGGAGCATTCTTCTTTCTTGGAGCTCCTCAACACTCTCTGGGCTCTGGCATTTATTTTCTCTCCAGAATCCTCAGAATTAAACTATCTCAAGCCTGAAACAGCCCCTCTCTGAGCCTGCAAGAGGCAGAGTTTGTTCCTGTGGACAATCCAATCACTCCCATATCCCACACCTGGGTTTAAAACAAAAACATGTTTACTTATTATAAACCAAAACTTCCACAACAGAAGAACTTCTGTAAAGCAAAGGACACTATCATTAGAAGAAAACAACAGCCTATGGACTGGGGAAAATCTTTTCCAACCCTACATCTGACAGAGGGCTAATGTTCAGAATATATAAAGAACTCAAGAAACTAAACAGCAATAAACCAAATAATCTAATTAAAAACGAGGTACAAAGCTAAATACAGAATTCCCAACACAGGAATATTGAATGGCTGAGAAGCACTTAAAGAAATGTTCAACATCCTTAGTCATCTGGGAATTGCAAATCAAAACAAATCTGATTTTCCATCTTTCACCTATCAGAATGGCTAAGATCAAAAACTCAACTGACAGTACATACTAATGAAGTTGTGGAGAAAGGAGAACACTCCACCATTGCTGGTGGGAGAGCAACCTTGTACAACAATATTGGAAATCAATCTAGCATAGCACTTTCTCTGAATAATGAGAACAGCTCTACCTCAGGACCCAGCTATAGCATTCCACGGCTTATACCCAAAAGATTTTCCACCATACAACAAGAACGTTTGCTCCACTATGTTTATAGCATATTTATTCTGATGTCCCTCAACCAATGAATGGATAAAGAAACTGTGGTATGTTTACACAATGAAATACTATTCAGTGATTAAAAACAAGGGCATCATGAAATTTGCAGGCAAATGGATGGATCTGGAAAAGATCATCCTAAGTAAGGTAACCCAGACCCAGAATGATATGCATCATGTTATATACTCACTTATAAGCAGGTATTAGCCATACTTTAATAAGTAAACTTTAATCCACAGACCTAAAGAATGTAAGTAACAAGAAGGAACCTATGCAGGATGCTTAATTTTCATTCAGAAGGGCAAATAGAATAGACACTGGAAGTGGTTGAAGAGAGGGAACAGAAGAAGCCTTCCGTGGATGTTATCTGAAAAACTATACCAGCAGAGGATTGAAGTAGATGCTGAGACTCACAGCCAAACTGGACAGAGCACAGGGAGTCTTATAAAAGAGTGGGAAGATAGAGGGAACTAGAGACAACAGAAATTCCACAAGAAGACCAACAGAGCCAATCTGGGCCCAGGGATCCCTGCAGAGAATGATGCACCAACCAAGGACCATGCATATAGAGGACCCAGGCCCCCTGCTCAGATGTATATGATAGGCAGCTCAGTCTCCATGTAAGTTACCTAGTAAGAGGACCAGGGGCTGTCTCTGACATGAACTCCATTGCCTGTTCTTTGATCACTTCCCTTGGGTGAGGTGGTCTTGCCAAGCCACAGAAGAAAAGGATACAGTTCTGAAGAGACTCCATAGTCAGAATTTGGATGGTAAAGGAGGAGGGCTCCTCTTTTTTGAGGGTTAGAGGCTTAGGGGACAGGGATGAGAGGTGAAGGGAGGGGGTGCAAATGGGAGGAGACAAGAGGGTGGGCTATGATCAGGATGTAAAATGAATGAAATTTTAAGAAAGAACAATTAAGACTAGATAGGAAGAAATAATGAAACAATAAAATAGAAACAACAATATACAATAGAAAGAATCAATGAAATGAAGAATTGGTTCTTGGGGGGAAAAGCAACTTTTTTAAAATTTTTTATTAATTACACTTTATTCATTTTGTATCCCCCCATAAGCCCCTCCCTCCTCCCCTCCCAATCCCACCCTCCCTCCCCTTTCTGCATGCATGCCACTCCCCAAGTCCACTGATAGGGGAGGTTCTCCTCTCCTTTCTGATCTTAGTCTATCAGTTCTCATCAAAAGTGGCTGCATTGTCCTCTACTGTGGCCTGATAAGGCTGCTCCCCCCTCAGGGGGAAGTGATCAACAAGCAGGCCAATCAGATTATGTCAGAGGCAGTCCCTCTTCCCATTACTATGTAACCCACTTGGACACTGAACTGCCATGGGCTACACCTGTGCAGGGGTTCCAGGTCATCTCCACAAATAGTCCTTGGTTGGAGTATGAATCTCTGGGAAGTTCCCTGTGTTCAAATTAACCAAAATAACCAAAAGAAAGAGAAAATAGATTGGTTTGTTTGCAAGCCAAATTTCAAAAATTAGAAGTGAGAAAAGACTTTACAGTAAACAGTAAGGACATTTGGAGAATCATACAGACATAATTTAAAAATCTGTATTATATCAAGCTGGAAAACCTAACAGAATGAATTAATTTCGTGATACATGAAGACTATTAAAGCTACGTCAAGATGAAATAAACAGTTTATACAGACCCAAAATCCCTAGTTAAGTATAAGTAGTAATTAAATATCCCAACAACAACAATAAAAACATTATTTAGGGCCAGATGTATCGGTGCAGAATTCTACAAGACCTTCAAAGAGGAACTAATGCCAATATCTCACAAATCATTCTGGAAAAGAGAAATGGAAAGAATATTGCCAAAATCTTTTTATGAAGTCACTATTACCCTAATGCCAAAAACTACACAATGATTCAACAAAAACAGGAAATTATAGTTCAACATTTCTTATAAACATAGATGCAAAAATTCTCAGTAAAGTGTTTGCAAATTAAATTTAAGAACATATCAAAAAGATTAACCTCCATGATTAAGTTAAATTCATCTCAGGGATGCAGGGATGATAGACATATTTGCATCAATAAATGTCATCTATCACATACACAGTTTAAAAGACAGAAACTACATAATTATTTCATTAAATGCAGAAAATATTCTTTGAAAAGAATACTAAGCATCGCTTCATATTAAAATTCTTGGAGAGGCTAGGTTGTAAAGGACAAGGGCATACCTCAACATGATAAAGGTAATTTACAACAAGCCGATAGCCAATATCATTAGTACGATGAAAGAATGTTCAGTCATTCCGTATCTGTTCAATACAGCGATATAACAACTGCAGGAGATCGTGGAGATGCAAATAGGAAAAGAAAAAAAAATCAAAGTATGTTAATTTGCAGACGGTATAATATTGTACATAAATGTTCCTAAGATTCCTCCATGAAATTCCTTCAGCTAATAAATGCTTTCAGCAAAGTAGCAGGATGCAAAATGAATACACAAGAATCAGTAGCCTTTTTATATTCAAATGACAAACAGATCTATAAATAAATCAGGAAACACTGCCTTTCCCAATAGCCTAAAAAATTAAAATATATTATAACTCCAACTAATAAAGTACAGCATTTATATATTAAAAACTAGAAGTCTTTGAAGAAAGAAATTGAAGACGTCTTCAGAAGATGGATAGACCTCCTGTACACATTGACTGGCAGGATTAACATCAGGAAAATAACAAGTCTGGCAAAAGCAATCCAGAGATTCACTCCAACTCCCATCAAAATTCATACATAATCTTTCACAAAAAAAATTGAAAAAATAATCTTAAGAATCATACAAAAACAAATGCAAAGAGTTGGAATAATTTTGTGCTCTTGACTAATGCCCATTTATTACCTTAAGTCCTCTGTTCTGGTTTTTGTTTGTTTGCCTTAGTCCCTGAAATTCTCAATGGACAGACATATAATGCAACGGTAGTTGGCTTGAGTCCCTGGGTGGAATATGAATTTCGTGTTGTTGCTGGGAACAACATTGGGATTGGAGAGCCAAGCAAACCATCCGAATTGCTGAGAACCAAAGCATCAGGTAAGAAATCAATGTTTACTGCAGATGGAAGATCCTTTCTGTGCTAATACTCCAAAAAGACATTCTCTGGGTCTTTTAGAATTTTTATAACAATAGTAGTGTTGATGAGTAAGTCCTTCGAGTTTTTGCACTTGTAATTGACCTTAGACCAATGCCAGGTGTATCCCGCTCAGCTCTTTCCCACAATTGGCACTTGAATTTGAGTCAAATTTGTGTTGAAATAATGTTAAGAAGATGTGTGAAGAAAGAGGAGCTTTTCAGAAACAACCTTAAATATATTTTCTTTTCAAACTCTAATAGAGAATCTACAGTTGGAAGGTGTGTTAGGGCCTGTTCATTAAAATGGCAGTAAAAAATTAATGCAGCAAGTATTTGGCTCAGCCAAAATTTACTTTCATCTATTTTTTTTTCAATTCTGATCTAGTTACAGCTTCACTGAGGAATACTATCAATTCTTCTCCATGCAAATGAGATACTTCCTAATCTCACTGAACAAAAGTGCTGTTTGAGCATCAGCTGGTTGACTGAACAGCAGAGCCAGAGTGCAGCCTAGCTCCAAATCATGCCTTCTTTTTTTCATTTTTATTAATTATTATTATTATTTATTACAATGTATTCACTTTGTATCGCGGCTGTGGCCTCCTCCCTTGTCTAAAACCCCTGCTCTGATGTAGCCCGTAGATTCAATCTCCAGTTGGTTTCCCTAGGAAAGGAGCAGGGGTTGTCTCTGACATGAACTCAGTGGAAGGCTCTCTGATCACCTTCCCCTGGAGGGTACAGCCTTGCCAGTCCACAATGGAAGATGATGCAGCCAATCATGATGAGACCTGATAGGACAGATAGAAGGGGAGGAGTTCCCCCCCCCATTAGTGGACTAGGGGAGGGCCATAGGGGAAGAAGAGGGAGGAGGGTGGGTGGGATTGGGAGCAAACCATGCCTCTTTAAATTCTTTTTAACAGACCCTATTTGTTTCACCTCAGCTTTCATGTGCACGGTGGCGGCATGCCTAGTCTTTTGTTGAGCAAAGCTCATACAGTTCCTGTTCTTATTCAGCCAAATAACTGTAAAACTCCTTGTCCTTGTTGCTTATTAAAAAAAAAAAAAAAAAAAAAAAAAAAAAA